AGCCCCCCCCCCCCCCCCGACTCAAAGGCAAGCTTAATTCCTGCAGCGCTGGGGTCCCGGGCGGGGCTGGCAGGAATGGGCGCGGCCCTGGGCACCAGGAGGAGGAGGGCGGGGCGCAAATGTGCAAGATTCTGCGTGGCGCGCCACGCGGAGCAGCTCAGAGCTCTAGCTCTAGGGGAAGGACCAGCTGACGGTCAATTAATTCCTGCCCAGACTGACGGAGTCCCAGAGCCCAGCCAGTGAGTGAAGGTGTGAGAGAGATGGGGAGGAGAGGCCCGAGCGGCCCTGAGATGAGGAAACGGGGTGGGGGGGGGGGGGGGGGGGGGCGAGTGCTCTGCTTTCGGCTTCCGAAGTCACAGCACAGTTGTTGCTTTAAAACACCGACATGCAGTGACGGAGATAAACCGAGTTGAAGGGATCTCGATAGAACGGGAACGATTATTTCAGACAGCGGATAACAGGCGACAGCAGACCCGCTGTGACAGAGAGCTGTCAGCAGTGGGAAGTGGCAGGTCCCAGAGTCGGGTGAGGACAGAACACGCGGCCTTAAGTGGCCACATTCAAATTGTGCTTCAAATGTACCACGTAAAAGTTAGCATGAGCTTGGTTTGAAAATTCCTCACCCAGTCCCGTCAAGCAGATGCCTCCTTGGGTGACTAGTCTAAACATAAAAAAAGGACGTAGGAAAATAAAGGCATGTTTCTCTTTTTTAAAAATACCTTATATGTACACAACAGGAAGTGGTACCGGAGGACCCCTGGCGCGAGGAGACCCTGGGGAAGACGGTAACGGCCTGTCTTCCCCGGCACAGAGTTAACTGAGAAACCCTGGAGGGGAGCAGAGAGCAGGAAGGAGCCATGGGGCTGGCCACGGCCTCTAGGGGAGTGGGGTGGCTTTTCACGAGGATTCCCCACCTTGAGCCTGAGCCCCGCGTTCCGCTCGCTTGAGTGTCCCCCACTCGGCCCTGGGAAAGCGCTGGCAGGAGGGAAAAGGGTGTTGACGACACAACAGCACTTACGCTGTCCCCTAGCACACGGTCGGTCACTGGTGGGAAGCGCAGTCGAGATGTGGCGGGCACGGGCCTTAATCGGACAAGTCGCAGGCACCCCGCCCGGGCCGCAGGGACAGCGGCGTCAGACCGACGTGTGCACGGGCGTGACCGAGTGTGACGGTGAGGAGCCCCGCTCAGATGAGGCAGAGGCGCGCGCGGCCACCTCCCGCTGCAGGTCCTCCACCCGCTTCTGCAGCTCCGCACGGACGGCCAGCAGCTCCTTGAGGTTCTGGTGGATGGGCGTCTGCGGGCAGAGACACGGGTCAGCGCCGCCGCCGCTCCCCAGCCCGGTCCCTGCCTCCTGCCCCTCGCCCTCACCGCCGCGGGCCTGGCCATCCTCCCCAGCGGGCGCTCCCAACGCGCGCCTCGGCTGAGGCCACCACCCAGCAGCATCGATGGCCATGGCCCCGCACACCCCCTGCACCTCCGTTTCTGCATCTCCGTATGTCGCAATGCTAACTGAAAACCCTTCTGTTAAACCGGCACTTCCAGCACCTCGCAGCCACGTGTCTTCATCAGCCAGGACGGGCGCGGGCAGAAGGCCCTGGAGGGGGCAGTGCCGGGAGAGGGGCCCGGGCCACTGGCTCCCGTCCCTGTTCACAAAGCCTCTGCCGGCCACGCCAGCGCCGCCTCAGCCGATTCCTGTACCCGTCGATGCGCGGAGCAGAGAGATGCGAAGGGTGCTCCCGGGCCATGGGGCCTCCCAGCCTGACTCTTCTGGCCACAGCACCCACTCCCTCCCGCGCTCAGCTCACAAGCTGCCCTGGGCACCTGCCGCAGCCCAGACAGCCCAGACCTGGCATTGCCCTCGCGGAGCGAAGCAGGCGGGGGAGGGAAGTCGCCACCTGAGGGGCGAAGGGGGCATGGGGTGGGGTCTGGGGAGCTCCCCCTGCTTCCCCTCGGCCCCCGTCCAGCTCCTGCACAGCAGCCACCAGCCTGGGTCCTGAGCCCCAGCCAGGCTCCCAGACGCCACTGAACAGCCCCCAGTGGCTTCTTCCCGCCGGCCTGAAGGTAAGATCCTGACCTTGGCTTCCAGGCTCTGTGTGGTCTAACCCCAGCCTGGCCCCCCTCGTCACCCCTCCCCAAGTCCTGCCTCTTCTCCCCTCCTGCATTCCCGAACCTTCCAGGTTTTGGAAGATGCCACGCATGTGCTGTCCCTTCTGCCTGGGGCACTATCCCCCGACCCTTTTCACTCACAGGCTGGGCTTCATCCTACAGAGACTGGCCAGAAGGGCACTTGCTCTGGGCGGGGGGCTTTTGGAGACGCTGCACTCCTGCCACGCCTGCGTATCTCATCATGACCTCCCCACGAAGTCTGGGAGCCGTCCCATCAGGGGTGCCAGTGGTGACCACCCCAGTGCACGAAGAGGGAAGGTAGGAGACAGGTGAGAGAGACATGAGACCCGAGAGTGAGTGACCAGAGAGGTGAGCACATGCGAGGGATGAGGGACAGAGGAACAGGGACGACGGAGTCAGACAAGGCAGGGGCGGCGGGGGGAGGCAGCCAGGTGTCTGCAACACAGGAGGGTGCTCGGTAACCCACACAGAAGCAGCTCAGAACACACTCCTGACTTTGGCCCCAGGAAGGAGAGAGAGGGCGGCAGTGTGGGAGTCCGATGGCAAAGGCCCCCAGAACAAGGGAAGCTGCCTTGTTTGCTGCTGATTCCAGAGGCCGCTGCGAGGTGGAGAACAGCTCCCCTCTTAGCCTTGGACCTACTGGGTATTTTCTTGTTTTGTGGGACTTGATTCCAGTTGCTTTGCGATCAAGCTACCATTACTAACAGCCAGGCCCTGGGGTCAGAGAGAGGCGAGCCACGCTGGTAACACGCGACTTCACACCCACCCAGGCCCGAGACTCTCATCTCAGTCTCCACGCAGCCTTCGTTATCTTTTCTCACACGTTATCTTCATTTACAATAGACCAAAGGCATGCTTGTTTGAGAAAATGCCCATCTTGGGGCCAGTTGCCCAGCGCTAGCGTGTGTGACACAGAACGCCACAAGAGGCCCACACAGCCATCCTCTGATGGAGGCGCAGGCGGCCCCCTCCAGGCAGCTATCCTAGCCCCTCCTCAAAGAGGCCAGCCACCTTGTGCCCCTGCTTTTCTTTTCTGCCCCCCCACCCCCCCCCGCCTCTGCTCTGGCCAGCCCGGCTCTCTGCCCCATCACTGGACATGATCAGCCTTCATGCTGATCCCCTGGCCAGGCCCCGCTGCTGCCCTCCCCGTGCCTGTGCTGCGCTGCTACCATGAGCTTCCTGCAACGCCGCGGTGGCCCACAGCCCCTGCGATCGAGGCCTCACCTGAAGATGCAGGGGGGGCGCACAGAGCTAGACCACCCCCTTACCGCCCTCCAAGCACTGTGCCGGGCTCTGTTGGGATCCGTTTGCCACTCGCACCCCCGCGAGGTCTCAGGAGGCTGGGGACCTTCCCCACAGCGGGCACTGACTCACCGCCAGAGTCGGGGTCTGGCCCTGGCCGGGGCGCCCCCGCCAGCCTCATCCTGGAGCAGCGATGCCTGCGCTTCTCATGATCGTCCTGAGCTGAGTGTGCTCAGATGAGTACGAATTCGCGTGCTTTCGAGAACAGGAGCGTGCAGCATGCAGGCTTGAAGAAGGAGTTGGGCCCTGTCCTCACCAAATTCGTGACCAGCACAGGGCCAGGCTGGTAGCGCCAGCAGAGGGAGCCAGGCGGGTGAGGGGGGCGGGGCAGTAGGAGACCTCAGCCCTGGTGTATTTCTAACAACACAACACGTAGGAAGAAGCTGCCAGAAGGCTAGAGGCGAGCCACGCTGGTAACACGCGACTTCACACCCACCCAGGCCCGAGACTCTCATCTCAGTCTCCACGCAGCCTTCGTTATCTTTTCTCACACGTTATCTTCATTTACAATAGACCAAAGGCATGCTTGTTTGAGAAAATGCCCATCTTGGGGCCAGTTGCCCAGCGCTAGCGTGTGTGACACAGAACGCCACAAGAGGCCCACACAGCCATCCTCTGATGGAGGCGCAGGCGGCCCCCTCCAGGCAGCTATCCTAGCCCCTCCTCAAAGAGGCCAGCCACCTTGTGCCCCTGCTTTTCTTTTCTGCCCCCCCACCCCACCCCGCCTCTGCTCTGGCCAGCCCGGCTCTCTGCCCCATCACTGGACATGATCAGCCTTCATGCTGATCCCCTGGCCAGGCCCCGCTGCTGCCCTCCCCGTGCCTGTGCTGCGCTGCTACCATGAGCTTCCTGCAACGCCGCGGTGGCCCACAGCCCCTGCGATCGAGGCCTCACCTGAAGATGCAGGGGGGGCGCACAGAGCTAGACCACCCCCTTACCGCCCTCCAAGCACTGTGCCGGGCTCTGTTGGGATCCGTTTGCCACTCGCACCCCCGCGAGGTCTCAGGAGGCTGGGGACCTTCCCCACAGCGGGCACTGACTCACCGCCAGAGTCGGGGTCTGGCCCTGGCCGGGGCGCCCCCGCCAGCCTCATCCTGGAGCAGCGATGCCTGCGCTTCTCATGATCGTCCTGAGCTGAGTGTGCTCAGATGAGTACGAATTCGCGTGCTTTCGAGAACAGGAGCGTGCAGCATGCAGGCTTGAAGAAGGAGTTGGGCCCTGTCCTCACCAAATTCGTGACCAGCACAGGGCCAGGCTGGTAGCGCCAGCAGAGGGAGCCAGGCGGGTGAGGGGGGCGGGGCAGTAGGAGACCTCAGCCCTGGTGTATTTCTAACAACACAACACGTAGGAAGAAGCTGCCAGAAGGCTTGGGTGCCTAAGCGACTCAAGACTGGAAAGCAGCGCTCCAGGGGCCCTGGATTTGGCAGCCTAAGACCACGAGCCGGGTCAGGGCACCGGGTCAGGGCAGAGCACCGCTCCGGGAGCTCGCCTGGGGGTGATTCAATCTCATCGCAGCGCTTGTGTCAGGGGCCAGCCTTGCAGAATGCCAAATCGAAGAGGAGAGGGAAAAAGCGATGAACACCACCTTGTCCCTGTGGCCTGGAGAAGGGGATCCGGGAGCTGAGACGACAGACCCAGAGGCCTGGAGCGGGGGCGGGGCGGGTGACAGGAGGCCGCCAGGCGCCAAAGGGGCCGTCGCGGGACTGACTTTGGCTGCACGACTCCAGAGTCACAAGACAAGACACGTGGGTTACTCACAAGAGGGAAGGGGACAGGTTTGGGGACCATGCTTGTGAGGTGGCCTTTTGAAGGCCACGGCCGATTCTTAACTGTCCATATACCATGGAACTAACAGGCGGGGTGCTCGTCGGCACAGGCGTGAGCACAGGACGCCTGCAGTTGGTGACTGATGGCTTACTGGCCACGAAACTGAAAACCTGTATTCTGAATACTGACCACTGACCAAAGAAGTTGCCTAACTGTATACTGTTTGGTTTCATGGGAAAAGAGCTGAGACTGTGCCTCAACTTCAGATGTTGTTCAATAAAGGGAACATTTTACAACTCCTAAAAGTTGGCATTTCTGCGACTCAAAACACACATTACCCCTCCGAATGGGAGAAAATATTTGCAAATGAAGCAACTGACAAAGGACTAATCTCCAAGATTTACAAGGAGCTCATGCAGCTCAATAACAAAAAAACAAACAACCCAATCCAAAAACGGGCAGAAGACCTAAATAGACATTTCTCCAAAGAAGATATACAGACTGCCAACAAACACATGAAAGAATGCTCAACATCATTAATCATTAGAGAAATGCAAATCAAAACTACAATGAGATATCATCTCACACCGGTCAGAATGGCCATCATCAAAAAAATCTAGAAACCATAAATGCTGGAGAGGGTGTGGAGAAAAGGGAACACTCTTGCACTGCTGGTGGGAATGTGAATTGGTTCAGCCACTATGGAGAACAGTATGGAGGTTCCTTAAAAAACTACAAACGGAACTACCATATGACCCAGCAATCCCACTACTGGGCATATACCCTGAGGAAACCAAAATTCAAAAAGAGTCACGTACCAAAATGTTCATTGCAGCTCTATTTACAATAGCCCGGAGATGGAAACAGCCTAAGTGCCCGTCGTCGGAGGAATGGATAAAGAAGATGTGGCACGTATATACAATGGAATATTACTCAGCCATAAAAAGAAACGAAATTGAGCTATTTGTAGTGAGGTGGATAGACCTAGAGTCCGTCGTACAGAGTGAAGTCTGTCAGAAAGAGAGAGACAAATACCGTATGCTAACACATATATATGGAATTTAAGAAGAAAAAAATGTCACGAAGAAACTAGGGGTAAGACAGGAATAAAGACACAGACCTACTGGAGAACAGACTTGAGGCTATGGGGAGGGGGAAGGGTGAGCTGTGACAGGGCGAGAGAGAGGCATGGACATATATACACTACCAAACGTAAGGTAGATAGCCAGTGGGAAGCAGCCGTATGGCACAGGGATATCGGCTCCGTGCTTTGTGACCGCCTGGCGGGGTGGGATAGGGAGGGTGGGAGGGAGGGAGACGCAAGAGGGAGGAGATATGGGAACATGTGTATATGTATAACTGATTCACTTTGTTGTAAAGCAGAAGCTAACACACCACTGTAAGGCAATTATACCCCAATAAAGAAAGATGTTAAACACACACACACACACACACACACACACACACACACACACACACACACACACATATTACATCCAGAACCCTGGTGTTCGGTAGGTAGAAACGTGCTCTGGCCCTGCTGGCGCCCGGCATGTCCGCGCCGGTGTGGCTGTGCCCGCTGCCCTGGCCACTTCAACATGGGAAGCAGCTAGTGGCCCCATGCCCACGTTAGACATTTGCCTCGTATGCGGTGACAGAAGGGCCCTCAGAGTAAGTGCAGGGGCGCGTCAGGTCAGGGAAGGTTTCCTAAGAAAAGGTTCTCTGAGCATCCCCTGTTGGCATGGTGTGAGGCCGAGGGCAGGGAAGGCATTCTGAGGTCAGAGGGTTTGAGGGGCCCCTGGCGGGATGCGGCATCCATCGCAGGCCGGGAGACGGGCATAGGTGGGGGGCGACGGGAGGCCCGGTTCAGGGGCCGCTCCGGGAGGAGGACAAGTACTGTGCTGAACGGGCCGTGATGGTGACACATTCTGGAGAACAGTCCTCAGGTCTCCAGGGCGGCGCCGCCAGCTCACTCAGAGGGTTAGAGGACAAAAGGGCTTCCATAGCTGAAGCTTCGCGGAACTGATGCACGGAGCAAGGAAGCAGAGCAAGGGAAAGACGAGGCGAGTGGCGAGGCGAGGAGAGGTGAGTGGTGAGCCGCGCACAAGCAGGAGGTGGTGCCCCAGGCGGCAGGCTGCACTGTCAGGACGGAGCCCGAAGCCAAGGCTACAGCAAGCGAATTTCTAGCATGGAGGGAAGGTTAGTGAAGTGACGGCCTTGTCAACGTTCACATGCCACGCAACTGAGAGGGACATGAACAGTTCAGTCCTCCCCGTGGTTAGTGGGGCTTGGGGACTATTACAGGTGTCCCCCCCCTAAATTCATTAAGTTGAAATTCCAACCCTCAGTACCAAAGAATGTGACCTTATTTGCAGAGAGAGTCTTTACAGAGGTAATGAAGTTAAAATGAGGTCAGTAGGGTGGCCCTAATCCAGTATGACTGGTGTCCCTATGAAAAGGGGAAATCTGGACACAGATACACATAGAGGAAAGATGATGTGAAAAGGCACAGGGAGCAGATGGCCGTCTACAAGCCAAGGAAAGAGGCCTGGAATGGATCCCGCCCTCACGGCCCCCAGAAGGAACCAACCCTGAGACACCTTGATTTTGGACTTCCGGCCTCCAGAACTGGGGGACAATACATTTCTGTTGTTTGACCCACCCAGTCTGTGGGACTTTGTCACGGCTGCCCAAGCAGGAGGAGACAGATGAAACATGCCTGGAGAGGCTCTGAAGGCACAGAGCAAGAGGGAGGGATCAGGCAGGAGCGGGGCAGAGAGGAAAGGCGTATCTGCCCATCCGGGGCCGACAGAAGTGATGAGGTCAAACTGGGCCCTGGAGACGTGCCCCTGGCGCACGGCCAGTAAACCCAAAGATAATTCAACTTAAAAAAAAAAAAAAGCCCAGAACCCTCAGTAGAAAGCCATGTGCCCGTGGAGGTGAGGGCTGGCTGCCTTGTTCTCCTCAACCACACCCACCATGTCCCGGCCACCCAGCTGGAAGAGCTCAGCCACTGAACACCAAGGGCGACCACAGCTTGGCTGCCTGGCCCTGCTGTGCACTGTTCTGTAATATTTTTTTCAATCTCAGGAGATGTTACAGTGAAAAGGGAGGGGGAAGCGACCCCTTCCTCAAGGGGGTGCGTGCTCTGTGACTCGGCACGTGCCCTCTTTCTGTTGGGCTACCAGAGTCTATAAGCTGTGACCGAGTCGAGTCATCGGAAGGACTGACAAATGCAGTGATTTACAACACTTCATCAGCTGTGTACCTTCACTTAATTCTACACCACCATCTTTCCTTGGGCAGAAAGATATGCTTTTTTTTGAAAAGAAAAACAAAAAGATACCTGAGGCCTCATTCGTGGATTCCATCGCACGTAATAGTTTACCCATAATTCCAAATGACTCAGACTAGTAACAGGATATAGGACGTGGTTTTCATAATTCACAAAGAAGGGATTAGAAAATTCATCCAGCTGGCTATTGATATAAGACCATAAAGATATAGTCTTTGTATATACATCCTGAAAAACAAAAAAGGAATACATTGAAATAAATTCAACTTTCCTTCACAGCCTCAAGAATTTGTACCACGTGGAGAAAAGGACTTGAATAACGAAGCGGGTTCAACTGATAAAAACCAGGAACGTTTACTAAGTCCCACCCCATCCCTCTGCACACATGACCCAAAAACAAACTAGTTACTGTCCTAGAAAAACGTACTGCTGAGTTAGATGACATCTGGCGACTCTGTCTGTTTGAAGGCAGAATGAGAACTTTCTAACGATCCCAGGATGATGGGGCCCATATTTAACAAATACATTTTTTATTCTTTTTTGCACCTTGCTTGTGTGACCCTTAATATTAAGGACCATAGGCAGAATTTACAGATAAGATTCCTTTCACTGGAAAATCATGGCTATCTGGGGGAAAGCCTGTGGGGTGGCAGGCTGAAGAAGCCTTATATAGAGAATATATCATTAAATTACAGACCCCCACCTCCCAATTTTACAGCACACTGTAACTTGGCATTGCTCGTCGGAATGCAGGCACCCAAACCCACAGGCATGATGGGGCAGAGCGACATTAAACGTGGATCAAGTACAAAAGCCAAAGTGAGAAAACAGTGAGGCCAGGAGTGTTTTCCACCATTCTGCTGCTCCCAAGCCAGCTGACTTCTCCCCAAGTTATCTAGACACAAGAGGCGAGGATCTCTTCATATTTTATATTTCATATTTACAAGAGAAACACCAGCAATAATTCAAGGGACCCCAAACAGCCAAAACAATCTTGGGGAAAAAAAGAACAAATTTGGAAGTCTCACACTTCCCAATTTCAAGACTTAACTGCAAAGTTGCAGTAATCAATACAGGTGGTACTGGCATAGGATGGACACACATAGACATACACATCAATGAAATAGAATAGAGAGTACAAAAATGAACCTTCACATTTATGGTCAACTGATTTTCAACAAGGATGCCAAGAAAACTCAACGGGAGAAAGACAATGTTTTCAACCAACAGTGCTGAGACAACTAGATAACCACGTGCAAAGAAATGAAGTTGAACCGTTACCTCACACCACATACAGAAAGTAACTCAAAATGGACAACAGGCCTAAACATAAGAGCTAAACTCTTAGAAGAAAACATAGGCTTAAACTTTCATGACCTTGAGTTAGACAATGGTTTCTTAGATATGACAACAAAAGCACAAGCAACAAAAACAACAAAAAAAACCCAGATAACTGGGACTTCATCAAAATTAAAGACGTGTGCTTCAAATGACACCATCAAAGAAGTGAAAATACAGTGCACAGAATGGAAGAAAATATTTGCAAATCGTATCTGATAAAGGACTTACGTATGTAAAGAATACATAAGGAACTCTTTCACTCAATAATAACAAGATAACCCAAATAGAAATGGGCAAAGGATCTGAATAAACATTTGTCCACAGACATATACAGTTGGCCAATAAGCGCCTGAAGAGATGCTCAGCATCATTAGTCATCAGAGAAATGCACACGAAAATCACAATGAAATACCACTTCACACCCAACTGGGATGGCTAGAATCAAAAAGATAAACAATAACAAGTGTCCACAAAGACGTGAAGAAAATGGGACCCTAAGACATTGCTGGTAAAAATGTTAAATGTTGCAACTGCTTTGGAAAACAGTCTGGTGGTTCCTCAAAGGGTTAAACATAGAGCTACCATATGAACCCAGCAATTCGACTCCTAGGTGTCTCCCCAAGAGAAGTGAAAGCATATGTCCTCACAAAACCTTGAACATGAATGTTCATAGCAGCAGTATTCATAAGAGCCCAAAGTAGAAACAACCCAAATGTCCATCTGCTGATGACTGGATAATCAAATGATGGTCTGTCCATACAATGGAATATTATTCAGTCGTGAAAAAGGAATGACACACAGGTATGTGCTAAACATGGATGAGCCTTGAAAACAGTATGCTTAGTGAAATCAGCCAGACACAAGAGGACAAATACTGTATGATTCTATTTATACAAAATGTCCAGAAGAGGTGAGTTCACAGAGACGGAAAGTAGATTAGTGGTTGCCGGGGGCTGGGCGGAGGGAGGAATCGGGAGTGACTGCTAACGGGTATGGGATTTCTTTTTGGGGTGATGAGAGTTTTATGAAATTAGATGGTGGGGATGGTTGCACCCTGAATATACTAAAAACCAATGAACAGTCCACTTTAAAAGGGTTAATTGTATGGTATGTAAGTTACATCTCAAGAGAGCTGATTTTTTAGAGTACATTTTGATTTTAAAAAAAAAGATAAGACCATAAGGATTTAAATTCTACATATGAACCATATTGTTCTGTTGACATTTTCTTTAAAAACAGCTTTATTGAGATAAGTCACATACCATAAAATTCACTCATTTAAATTCTTTTTCTTCATTAGGAGGTTAACAGGGCCCCATCACACTGGGCCCTCAGGAGTGTGGGCTTGACCCTGATCACAGTGGGAAGCCACAGGGAGGTTTCAAGCAGAGGAGAGGCACGTGACCAGTCTGAAGTTTGGGAGTGCTGCCCTGGTCGTTATGCTTGGATTCACTGGAGGTCAGAAATGCTCGCTTCTGGGCAGCTGCCTTAGTTCCAGATGCAAGACTGCGGGCTGGGTAGGCTTCAACTAGGCTTGTCGTGGTGGAGTAGTGAGGGGTGGCCAGATTACAAATCCATCCTGGGGACAGGGCTGGCAGTACTCACTGAGGGACTGAACATGGCAGCTGAGGTGAGGGCGAGGGAGGGATTGAAGATGGCCCCTATGTATGTGGCCTTAGCATCTAGATGGGCAGAGGTGCCACTGAGTGGGATGCAAAAGGGTGGGGGAGGAAGAGGAAAACAGCATTTGGATCCCCAAGACAGATGAAGCTATCTGGAGAGAGAACAAGAAGAGGACCTGGGCCCGGGCAACTCCAAGTTTAGAGATGGGTTAAAAGGGAACAGACTGAGCAGGGAAGGCCAGCGAGGTGCGGGAGAACCAGAGAGGGCATGGGGTGGGGGAGTGGTCAGCTGTGCGCTGAGAGGGAGGGAGGCGGGCTCTGGGGGCCTGCCGTTTTCTCCTAAGTTCTCGAATGTTCTAGCACACTAAACCCGCTGGCAGAAGTCCTTTTCTATGAACCAGAGGACACTCTTTAAGCTGCCTTCTCCCAATGCTTCCTCACTTTTGATCATTTCTGTCTTTTATCCCAAAGTGAGGAGAAAAGGAAGAGGTAAATCTAACAGAGAAGCTTGGTAACTGCTCCTTTATCAGCTTGATGGAAACAAAGTTGAGCTTGCTACCTCGGGAGAGGTTTGGGCTCATCTACAGACTTCCTTGTCCACGGTCTCCCAGTACCCTTCTGCCCAAGAGCACAAAGAAAGACGAGCAGCATCACAGCATTTGGAGACTGGGGGGTCCAGAGCCTAGTCCTGACCCTAGAGACCTCAGGGAGCTGTGGGCCCCCTGGGCCCCCGCACCCATAAAGGAAGGGGCTTTCGTCAACTCAGCTGGAAGATTAGACACATGCGCTGGGGCTGGTGAACCCTGGGAGGGCATTTCGTGCAACCCCTCCATTTACAGACAGCAGCAGGGTGAGACCCAAGTCCCCTCTCCATTTCAGTCCCCCTTCTGCAGTGGCACTTAACGGGAAAGGCACTCGAGCAATCAGGAAAGCCAGAGGATATAATAATACACTTACCTCTTTCAGTCGCTGCTGTTCAGAGTTGCACAAGAAAGTCCCAAAGAGACAGCTATAAAGGTGATCCAAAATTGTAATCAAGAATAGTTCATTAAACTCGAATGCTGAAGGAAACTTAAATGGAGAGAGAAATAAGGTTTAGTTTTAAAGTTCAATTTCTAAAACAAACTGGTACTAATATTTTTGTGAAAGACAGCTAAGCTACGACTTGGAACATAGTCAAAGATTAAAAGGAAAAGTGAGGCCATGTAGAACTTAATTGTCTCTAGTTTCCGGGCCAAGCTTACAGATCTGGCTGAGAAACAACCTGGAGCAACAAAAACTGTTGTACTTTTCAGCGCCTAAGAAAGCTTACGGAGCTTCCACTTCTCGCCACGATGACAGAACAGCCTGCGCTCATCCTTCTGCCAGAAACAACTAGAGAGCTGGACAAAATACATGACCCAGCTGTTTGTAGACACTGGCAACAGCCAGGAGCACAGGACTGTGAGGACCACACCCCGCCCCAGCTCAGAATGGAAACCAATGAGACAAGTCCTACTATTGCCCCAGCTTCCCTTGTGGAAGCACATTCTGAGTCACAGAGAAGGGAGGGGGATTCCCAGGTAAGTGACTGAGGAAGAAATAGAAAGTCCTTTTCTATTAAACAAACAACTCGAAATTAAAAACCTTCCCACAGAGACAACTCCGTGGACACACATCCCCAGATTCCTACCAACATGTAAGCACACTGAACCTGGCAATATATAATGTAAAAGGGGTAACACCACATGACCAAGTGGGGTTTGTCTCAGGAATGCAAGGCTGGTTTAAGATTTGAAGATCAAGGTTACCAAAAACAAAAAAAACTATTATTGTAATTCGCTATATTAACAGAATAAGGAGGAAAACCACATGATCCTCTCAATTGCCGTTTCAGGTAATTTTTAATGGGGCTAGCAGAATTCCAGCAAAGAGTTACCATTGTCGTGAGGTTCTAGCCAGTAGCTGACATTTAGTAGCCATGATAGAGACGATCTGGAAATGATGATAATGATCCTAGCAGCAGGCATGTACTGGGAGCCTACCATGTACCAGAATTCTAATGTAAAAACACAGTGAAATATTCATCACCTATTCAATGAAGCAAAGGCAATTAGAACAAAACCAAATAGAATTGCCCAGCATATTTTTGTGCATCAGTGTACTTTAAAGATCTATTCCCTAATCAGAGATGTTTGCACACTGTCACAACTAATTCTGTCATCTCTAGAGTGACAACCAGAGTCACTGATGGAAAGTTTATTTTTTAAGCTTATCTTTATTACTTTACTAGACCAGAGACAAGCTTCTCAGTTCGAAACAATGGTCAATACAGGACTGTCCAAACTCCATCTGAAAGTGTTATTTTCCTCACCAGGCTATGACATTAGCCAACCTAAGGAATTCAGCTCAGCTGCCCTAGATTAAGATTTGCCTCTGTCTACCTTAAGGACTGCTCTCAGAGAAACACACAACTTTTTTTTTTAATCTTGTTCTTAGATGAACTAAATCAATGATGAACCAAATCAATGATGAACTAAATCAACTAAATCTGGCCAAGTACATTATGTCAATTTTTTCTAGTATTTTTCTACGCAGCTTAGTCATGCTCTATTTATGTTATTGGCACCAAGAAATTTATGAATTTTAAGCAAAAATGTAACAGTTACATATATACTGAAGCACTTAAATCAAGGATAGAAATGGAAGGTCTGTATTTCATTTTCAAACGTTTAAAAATAACATTTATCAACAGGACAGCAAAGCTTCTACTGACATATTTTTGAAGTCATATGAGACTTTAGTCCTAACCCTGAGCCCGCATTCTGGATCTGGGAGCTTGGTTGGGCGGGCCGTGGAGGGGGGCATCGCCACTGACTACAAGCCTTACTCTGGCCAAGTGGGTAGCAGGTATGGGAAGTCAGGGTGGGCGGGGCTCAGCCCAAGCCGCTTGGCACCCGAAACACGGGGACACAAAGGCCCCATCTATTCATGTTAGGTCAGGACTGCTATTCGCATCCGAAGGGCATTGTGGTGTTAAACTCAGTTCAGGAAACATTTCATCAGAGGAAGTAGCAACCGCTAGATACAAATAAAAGATTAAAAGCCTCTGTGATTCACAGTTTCTTTTAGCCTTTTCTCCTGGAAACTATACCATACGCTTTAAAAAGTGTGGTCTCAAAAACCCCACAGAAATCCATAATGAAATTCTGCACCTCTTGATGGACAAAAACATCAACTATTAACCGATCCAAAAGGGTAAAAAGTCTGTTTAAACTGGGGTTATTGCAGAATGTCTTTGAGACTCTTCTCTGGAGTCCTTCAATGACTTTTTCCCTCAGTTCCTTTGATATCAATTTGTGCACACAGGCTAGTTCATTTCATTGAGATGTCTAACAACGTTACACTGACTTAGCTTATTTGATTTAGCAGTAGGAAAGCTAAAAATAAGTTAATCTTGTCACATTAATGCATCTTTTCTGACAAGCTACATATCTCTTTCACTTGTAACTTAATTCATAGTTAGACTGATTACTGGTGTGTCTCCTAATGCATTAACAATGGTATTTTAAAAGAAATTAATTATACACATTTCATGGACAGAATCTTAAAGCTTGTAAGAGGCATCTGAAACCTAACCCAAACCCCTCATTTTCTTTCTTAAAAATCAAACATTACAAAAATTATATAAATTAGACATGAAAATAGACACTAAGCAATATGAAGAATGGAAGTCAGTTTGAAGATGTTACACACACGCACGCACACACGCGCACACACACAGGCACACACGCACGCGCACGCACACTTTAGGCATTTGGGAGGAATAAGCTACTTCACATCCATATAAATGGTGCTTATCCCTTCAGAAGCATCGGAATTATTATCTGTGTTCAGCCTTTTTATGTAATTTTTCTGAAATGTATTTCATACCTTCCTGTCTTAACCTGAATGTAACCATCATTTAATTTTGTTACTGGCTTGGAATCAATACAAATTGCGAGTACATGGCACTACAAAACAGTAAGACTTGAGGCCAGTGTCCGTGCCTTTTGAGTATGTGTTTGCTGTTCCCTGTTACTCATACCATCGGGTGCCCACCGCTGAGACCACCCCTCCTCTACCCCCCACCCCTCTACCTAACTGGCTGCTTTGAATCAGCCATGAACTAAGCACTCAGATGATGCAAGAGCCCAATCAGCTTGGGGAAGCTGGGTCTAAAAGTGCGAGGAAGTTCTAAGGGAGGGCCTGAGGACTCTGTGAAATCTACTTTGGCTGCTTAGAACCCCACGCCAGCCCAATTATTTTCTAATTTCTGAAGGCATATCTATCTATTCTCACCATCCTTCCTACTCCAGTGTGATCTGTGGACCAGTAGCACAGCCTGGGAGCTTGTTAGAAATGCAGACTCTCAGGCTCTGCCCCAAACCCGTGAACCAGAACTGCATTTTGACAAGATCCCCAGGGTAGCTGTGTGCACAGTCAAGTTTAAGCAGCACCCCAGTAGAGCAGAATCCCTGGAGGGCTTGTGAAACAGAGTGCTGCCCCCTATCCAGGGTCAGCAGGTCTGGGGCGGGGCCTGAGAACCTGCATCTCTCAGTTCCAGGGAGGCTGAGGCTACTGGCCCCAGGACTGCACTGGGAACCACTTGTCTGGATCACTTGTCCTGTAACGCATTTTCATATCACAACCACCTGGGGAGCTTTTAAGAACTACACACACCTGGGCCTCTCCCCAGGCCCACAGGAAGAAGGGTCTCCAGGGGCAGGGCCCAAGCAGGCGCATCTTTAATATGATATGGTCCCCTTCATGTGCCTGAAGCAGTCAAGGCCAGACCTCCAGGTCAACAGGAAGGAGAGGGCCCAGGCCATGCTTTTCTATCTTCTCTTCCCCATAATCCCACCCAAGCAGGCACTTTGGAAAGGGCTCTGTATTTTGCTTGCTCTTTCTGCCTCTCCCTCGCCTCTGTCCCTCTCACTGTATCTCTGCCTCTATTTTGGTTTCCCTCCTGTCTCTGGTCCCTCTGGCTGTCTCCGGCACTCTGGCTTGTTCTCTGGCTCTGATTCCAGGTCCATTTGCATGGCACAACGTCCTATCGTGAGGGTAAGACCCCAAACTTGGGTTTCGACGCTGGAGATGAGGGAAGAAACGGCACATGCCTTCTGGCCTGCTGACCATCGGGCCGACTGGCTTAGGGAAGGGAGACCCCTGCGTGGCCACCTGGCTTACCAGGGCCCCACGCGCTGCCGGGTAAGAAATGACAAGACGCTCAGCAGCTTCGTATCTGCCACCGGTCCTGGGACAGTCCTTTTCCTCCTCACCTTGGGGTGGGAGGGGCTGTGGCCTGGGGCGGGGCGTAGAGGGTCCTGGATTCCCTGGTCTCCACCCCCTTTGTTCAGTCACATCCCCATTTCTAACTCCTGGGAATCTTCCGGTACCTGCCCAGCAGCGGGCTGTGCTTGCTTACCCTGACAGAGAGAGGGCAAGTGAAAGAAAGAGAAGGACTGAGGGGCAAGGTTTGCACAGCTGCCGGACAGCATGACGGACAAAAACCGCTTGCAGGAGAAAAGCACCTTTAGGTGTGAAGTTGGTTGTTTCCAATTTTCTGCTTATATTTCTAAGTAATTAGAATCAAACTGAGTTAACTAACAGAAGGGGTCATATAACACACACACACATCTTCACTCTGAACGAGCCTGAAATTAGAGTTTGTCTTCAACTTTAAGATATGCTTAGATCAGACTATAAAGGTCAGAAATAGACTTGAAATCTCTCACCTGTCTTGTCATTTGCCAAACACAGTCAATAAACTGAAGAAATATAGGGGATCGGTCAGCATCTGCATGGTTGTCATTGCCATGGCCCACTCGCTGAAAACAATCAAGAGGTTAAACATTTTAATGTATGCCATGGTCCTCTCAAAAGTCACTTTAACTTGCCTGGTGGCAAGAAGCATGTCTCATTTATATGTCCTAAGGCCTAACAGAATTCCAGGCACATAAAAGGCACTCAAAAACGTTCATCGCGTTGAACCGACTGCCATTACTCTTAGGAAACAAAATTTCAGCGTCCTGTTTTTACACGTTGATTGCTTTATAAGTGCCCTTTAGTGTAGTGGAGATGGAGAAGTCATAAGCAAAAGGCCAGCCGACCTTTCAGTCCACCCCAGCCACCACGCCCAGCGCTCGGTGTCGATGTGGGAGCAGCAGTCAGCAGCTCACAAAGCACATGACGACTCTGCCGTTTTCTCCACAAGTGGAGTTTTTTTCCCCCATTTTTCAGAAATGTCAGGAAGTCTGGGAATCAAAACAACAATTAACAGTCTACAAGTTTTAGCCAATTCTGCATGACTCAGAGGACCTCAAAGCCTCACTGTTGAAATGGTAATGGGGAGTCTTCAAGGCAGTCCGGGATTGTATCTCCAGGTTTTCTTCCAGTTTTAAGACATAGCTGATATCCAGTATTGTATATCATACCTTTTGATATTTTACAAGGTGTTAATAGATTCACGTTAAAAGGTAAAAGATAATTTCAAACACATAAACAGGACTGACAAAAACACTGAAAATGTCAAGTTAAAAACAGCTCACGAGTGAGCATTCTAACAAAAACTTCGAGTAATTTGATGCCTAAGCAAAAGGATGAAAAGGAAAGTTATGAAGATACAAGGCGATCACCACACAGGAAGATCAAGAAATACTGGGCCTATGAAACTGCCACCAAGAAAGACAGAAAAAGAAATAAATGACCAAGTCAACATGAACCCCTCAAAGGAACAGTATACTGCCTTCTTTTTTTAAAAAAACTTTTAATTGTAGTGAAATATACATATCAAATTTACCATCATAACCATTTTAAGTGTATAGTTCAGTGGCATTAAGTACATTCACACTGTTGTACAACCATCACCAGCATCCGTCTCTAGAACTTCCCAAACTGAAAGAGTAACTCCCTATTCCCCTCCCCCAGCCCCTGGACCCCCTCATCCTCCTCTGTCTCTACAGATTCGACTGCTCTAGATACGTCATACACGTGGAATCATGCAGTTTATTTGTCCTTTTGCAACTGGCTTCTTTCATTTAGCATAATGTCCTCTTAATTCATCCGGGTTGTAGCAGGTGTCAGAATTTTCTTCCCTTTGAAAGCTGAATAACATCCCACTGTACGGATAGACCACAATCTATTTAACCATTCATCTGTTGATGGACACTGGGTTACTTCCACCTTTGGGCTATTGTGAATCATGCTGCTATGAATATGGGTGTGCAACTAAGTGTTTGAGTCCCTGTTTTTTGGGGTATATACTCAGAAGCAGAATTGCTGGATCATATGGTATTTCTATTTTTAATTTTTTGAGGCACTGCCGTACTGTTTTCCAGAGTGGCTGCATGCATTGCATTACTTCTGTACTTTTATATAAAATAATTTGTGGAACCTACTCCTCAGTATTTAAGGCACCAGGGGAAGTTTTGCACTGACAGTTTACAACTTAAGATTCATTCTTTCTTTTAATAGACACGCATTGAACTCTTATGGTGCGTGTAAGGTGTCCCCCGCCCAGCCCTCAGGATTTCAGGTGGTTTCATGGGGTCCAGTGGAGGCCAGGCCCCTGGCTAGGAACCTGGGGTACCAAGACACATGAGACCCAGCATCTGTGCTCAATGAATAGTTCACTTGTGGTTTAGTCGCAGGAGAAGACCTGTAAACAACAGAGGCGATAAAGTGCGCCGGGGCTTCCTAGTCTGAGACGCATATGGTGGGGCTGCAAAGGAACAAGCAGCCATCCCAGGACGGTCTAGAGGAGGAAGCTAGGCGGGAAAGTCACAAGTCACAGTCATGGAGGAGGTCTTACTTGAGATAGAACTTGAAGGATCAGGAGGAACTTGCTTCTGGCTGGCCAGGGATAGATTCTATGAGAAGCAGTGGGGTGGCTCAGCGGGTGGGGGGTTGGTGGCGGCCACCAGGGGTGCTATAAGTAGCAGGGCACGGTTGAGGCAAGGCGAGAGGGGTGAGACGAGGCTGGAAAGGTGGGCCAGGGCCAGATCTCCAAGGGCCCCAAACGTGGCGATGAGGAGTTTGCCCACAACCCAGTAGGCCGTGGGCAGAGTCAGAGGGGTTTGTGCTGGGGAGAGTCGGCACCAGATCTGCTTTATGTAATGCCCCATCTGCTACAGTGGGGACAGTGGGTTGGAAGGAGACAGGGAGACTGCCATAATAGTCCGGAGGGAGCTGGCCAGGCCTGAACTAAGGGGGATGGAGTGGCAATGGGGAGGAGATGACAGATTTGAAATACATGCATTTAAAATCATGGGACTGGCTGAGATCAGTAAGGGATGAAGCATACAGAAAGAAAAGAAGCGATGTGAGGACTGAGCCCCAGGGCACCCCAACATTAAGAAGCTGGGGAGAGTGAAGCCTCAGGAGCAGTGGATTAAATCCCCACAGTCAACTTGCTGTACCTGCACCTGTGGAGTACCTGAACAGACCACGAACCATCCCAAAAGTGAGGCGGTGGACTTTGGGGGCAACTGTACACTTGGGGTTTGCTGTATGCAACTGACCGGTTCCTGATTTTTACGTTTATCTTAGTATAGTTTTTAGCACTTGATATCATTGGTGGATTTGTTTATTGGTTTGGCTGCTCTCTTCTTTTTTTTATTACTTAAAAAAATTTTTTTATTTTAATAATTTTTTAATTTTATTTATTTCTTTTAATTTTTAAATTTCTTTCTTTCTTTTTTTTCTCCCTTTTCTTGTGAGCCGTGTGGCTGACAGGGTCTTGGTGCTCTGGCCGGCTGTCAGGACTGGGCCTCTGAGGTGGGAGAGCCGAGTTCAGGACACTGGACCACCAGAGACCTCCTGGACCCACGTAATATCAAACAGCGAGAGGTCTCCCAGAGATCTCCGTCTCAGCGCTAAGACCCAGCTCCACTCAACGGCCAGCAAGCTCCAGTGCTGCACACCATATGTCAAACAACTAGCAAGACAGGAACACAACCCCACCCATTAGCAGAGAGGCGGCCTAAAATCATACTAACTTCACAGATACCCCAAAACACACTACTGGACATGGCCCTGCCCACCAGAAAGACAAGATCCAGCCCCAGTCACCAGAACACAGGCACAGTCCCCTCCACCAGGAAGCCTACACAAGCCCCTGGAGCAACCTTAGCCACAGGGGGCAGACACCAAAAACAACGGGAACTACAAACCTGCAGCCTGCAAAAAAAGGAGACCCCAAACACAGTAAGATAAGCAAAATGAGAAGACAGAGAAACACACAGCAGATGAAGGAGCAAGATAAAAACCCACCAGACCTAACAAATGAAGAGGAAATAGGCAGTCTACCTGAAAAAGAATTCAGAGTAATGATAGTAAAGATGACCCAAAATCTTGCAAATGGAATGGAGAAAACATAGGAAACGTTTAACAAAGACCTAGAAGAACTAAAGAGCAAACAAACAATGATGAACAACACAATAAGTGAAATTAAAAATTCTCTAGAAGGAATCAATAGCAGAATAAATGAGGCAGAAGAACAGACAAGTGGCCTGGAAGATAAAATAGTGGAAATCACTACTGCAGAGCAGAATAAAGAAAAAAGAATGTAAAGAACTGAGGACAGTCTCAGAGACCTCTGGGACAACATTAAACGCACCAACATTCGAAATATAGGGGTCCCAGAAGAAGAAGAGAAAAAGAAAGGGTCTGAGAAAATATTTGAGGAGATTATAGTTGAAAACTTCCCTAACATGGGAAAGGAAATAGTCGATCAAGTCCAGGAAGTGCAGAGGGTCCCAAACAGGAAAAATCCAAGGAGAAACACTCCAAGACACATATTAATCAAACTATCGAACCTTAAATACAAAGAAAAAATATTAAAAGCAGCAAGGGAAAAGCAACAAATAACATTCAAGGGAAATCCCATAAGGTTAACAGCTGATCTTTCAGCAGAAACTCTACAAACCAGAAGGGACTGGCAGGACATATTTAAAGTTATGAAAGGGAAAAACCTACAACCAAGATTACTCTACCCAGCAAGGATCTCATTCAGATTCGATGGAGAAATTAAAACCTTTACAGACAAGCAAAAGCTAAGAGAACTCAGCACCACTAAACCAGCTTTACAATGAATGCCAAAGGAATGTCTCTAGGCAGGAAACACAAGAGAAGGAAAAGGCCTACAATGACAAGCCCAAAACAATTAAGGAAATGGTAACATGAACATACACGTCGATAATTACCTTAAATGTAAATGGATTAAATGTTCCCACCAAAAGACACAGACTGGCTGAATGGATACAAAAACATGACCCATATATATGCTGTCTACAAAAGACCCACTTCAGACCTAGGGACACATACAGACTGAAAGTGAGGGAATGGAAAAAGATATTCCATACAAATGGAAATCAAAAGAAAGCTGGAGTAGCAATTCTCATATCAGACAAAATAGACTTTAAAATAAAGACTATTACAAGAGACAAAGAAGGACACTACATAATGATCAAGGGATCGATCCAAGAAGACGATATTACAATTGTAAATATTTACGCACCCAACACAGGGGCACCTCAATGCATAAGGCAAATGCTAACAGCCACAAAAGGGGAAATCGACAATAACACAATAATAGTAGAGGGTTTTAACACCCCACTTTCACCAAAGGACAGATCATCCAAAATGAAAACAAATAAGGAAACACAAGCTTTAAATGACACATTAAACAAGATGGACTTAATTGATATTTATAGGACATTCCATCCAAAAACAACAGAATACACTTTCTTCTCAAGTGCTCATAGAACATTCTCCAGGATAGATCATATCTTGGGACACAAATCAAGCCTTGGTAAATTTAAGAAAACTG